TATCGCTAAATGAAATTGAGACCCTGAATGCTGATTTCATTATATGTGATTTCCAGATCGCTCCCAAGTCAGCCATAGCTATTCATAATAATTTATTCTAACCTAGTCATGATGACTATAGTTAGTCCCTAAGCACCCTCCTCTTATCAGGGGTAGCACAGAATTGCTAAAATCCTCAGCCTAGGCGAAAGCCTGGAATTTCTGGAGCTGGAAGAAAGTGTTAGAGATGAGATACAGAGTTATCATGTCATGGTCTGGTTCACTGGCAGTTGATGTCCTGGCTGAGGACGTCGGGACCGGGGGCAAGATGGCTGGGTGGGAGCAGGAACGGGACTCCGGAAGCTAGGAGTCAGGGAGCCAAGAGTCTGAGGGTCAAAGAGCCAGGAGTCCAGAAACCAAAGGTCCAAGGGTTGAGGAAGCAAGGAGTCACGAAGTCAGGGGTCCGAGGATGAAGAAGCAAGGAGTTAAACAGGCAGGAAACGTGTTGCTGTGGCAAAGAGCTGAAGGGAAAATGCTGACCTTATATCCCTTCCCAGCTCTTGCCACCAGGTTCTGTGAGTTACCAATCAGCCTCACCTGTGAGCCTTGCCTCTTCAGAACAAACTTAGGAAGGCCCCAGTCCTGCAAAGTCCTATTGGTCACAGGGCCTGGCTCCTGCATGCACACCTGACATATCGATTCCAACCAGCAGCTCAGCCTATTACTCCAGAACTTGTCGGATTTTAGCTCGGCTAAGCAATAGGGGGCTCCTCCAGTTGACCTGTTTATTGAGCATTCCTACATGGACTGGCAGTGCCTTTCCAGGGTTTCAAACAGGGGGACATTCCCACCCCTGTTTGGAGGTGTCAGGAATTGAACCTGGGAGCCTTCTGCATATGAAGTGTTCTCCTGCTGAGCTGCAGCCCTTCACATCATCAACCCATCCGATGCTTCAGATATACACTTCCCCTCACCCCTAGGTAGCATGGCTGGTGATCAAGGATGATGGGAGTTGTAGTTCACAACATTTGGATGGTACCACAAGGCCTACCACTGTGTAAACAGCTATTTCCTACATCCCTGCAAAAGAAATCATTATCTGTGAAGTAGTTCTGAGTTGGGATCCGAACTAAGGTTGTTGGCAGCCATCTGTCTCAAGAGACAATGGAGTGTGCCTCCAGGGGTAAGGCCAAACGGCTGCATTAGCAGAACCAAAGGAACCTCCTTGGGGCACAAACCTGGGCAGTGTGTATGGAGGTCATGGGCTGCCCAGATGACAAGAGTCATCTCTTGGTCTCACTGATGTGGTCCAAAGGAAAGCAGAGCAATACGTTTGGCACCAGATTTGCTGCAGGAGTTGCTGGAAGCAGGAGCTCCACTCCGGATTTGTGTAGGGTTTACTCCTTAGCCTTTCCTTCTCCCAAAGGTATTGAGTTTTCCTTCTCCTAGATGGGCTACCTTCCCAGGCTTGCGAGTCCCATCTGCCCCTCGCCTCCCTTTGTAGCACATGCAGAAATCGCCTCCTTGACCATTGGACCCACTATTGGTCTCATCTGCTCATTCCGCCAGAGTCTGAACTAAGGTAGGCTACAGCTAACTGATTGTGCCATTTCCTTCACCAGACAGCTTTCTGAATCTATGATAATGCGTTCTCAGTGTGTGTGTGTGTGTTATAAATGCATAGTTTTTACTTTGAATGTCCTCCCATTTCATCCCACGCATGATCCTTGATCTGTTCATTTCACAAACGCGGCCAAGAACTCTGCAACATGTCACCAAGCGATATTATAAAGAGTAATGTTTATCCTGTAAGAACAACAGGCCTACCATGATCTTGGAATGGATTTGCAATCAAAATAGCTGCTATGCTTTAAAGCCAGCACTTGTAGAAAAATGGTGTTTTATAGCTATTTCTCCTAATGCCAGTTCTGATGTAGTTTTTACCCCTGCAACTTATAAACTTTCAAGTGCAGTGGAAGATGATTTATCTAATCTATATGATACAGTTAGAATGTTCTGCTGTAAAAAATATATATGAGCTATTGATCTCAGGAGATTCTAATTTAGATTAGCTTCCGGCGGGGTGGAGGCAGGAGAGACAGCAATAAACTGAAGCATTCTTTGTAGGCATCGCGTTCTGAATGTGTTATCAAGAAGTTAAAAATAGCCTTGGTCAGCACTAATTTTTACCACCGTAAAATCTTATGCCACAGTCTGGCTGAGCTGGTGCTAACGGAGATCATTCAAGATAGGGTAGTTTATTTAATTCTTAGCATTCATAATCCTGCCTTTCTTTCTTGTTGCATTGATAGACCCAGATTTCTTCCACCAATGAAAGCAAGGCCACATACATTGCATTTTTAAAACAGTACAGTGAAAGGAGGCAGGAAATTCTATGAAAACTAGAATTATTGGCTGTGGTTCGCCCCGTGGTTGTGGGTCCACTGTTTGGGCTCCCTGCCTTCCATCCTACCAGTTGCAATAAGCACCAGTCCTCACTACTGCCTATAACTACACTGTAAACAAATCACAACAAATGCTCTGTATAGACAAGGCATAGACTAACTACCATCAGGGCTCTTTTTCCGCTAGATCTTACAGGAACTGAGTTTTGGCACCTCTCAGGTGGGTACCACCGCCATTCTAAGAGAGCGAGGGAGGCATTCATGGTGAGTTCCGGCACCTCCTTTTCTAGAAAAATAGTACAGTGGTATCTCGGGTTACATACGCTTCAGGTTACATATGCTTCAGGTTACAGACTCCGCTAACCCAGAAATAGTGCTTCAGGTTAAGAACTTTGCTTCCGGATGAGAACAGAAATTGTGCTCTGGCGGCGCGGCAGTAGCAGGAGGCCCTATTAACTAAAGTGGTGCTTCAGGTTAAGAACAGTTTCAGGTTAAGTACGGCCCTCCGGAACGAATTAAATACTTAACCCGAGGTACCACTGTACTGACTACCATGTAAGATTTGTGAAAGCAAATAGGGATGGATGCTGGATAAAGATATAATCTGAGGGAACCCAGTGATATGAGAATCATAGCTACCTCTCTTGTGTGTGTCTCCAACATGGTTTACATTTATTCATTTATTTATTTTAATCAGTTTATGGGTGGATTTACACGGGGGGGGGGAGGAATGCTATAAATAGGTCAGAAATTAAATCACTATAACAAAAGAAAACACTGTGTAAAAATCACATAGAATTGTTTTTGCTCTCTGGTGCCCTCTGGTGTTGCATACTTATAACACATTCAAACTGTCTCTAATCACCTATTGAAAGAACTGTTAGCTGTCCTCTACAAAATGTATTCTGCATGGCAGCCTATGTGGACCTGGTAACTGAGCGACCCCTTATTTGCTCCTCACTTATAACTGCTTGTCACTTAAATCTCTTTCTCCCAAGAAATCCTCCTTAGTGCTTTCAGTGCCTGTCATCATCAAACTGGAGCCCTTTGTTAAAAGCTTAGGTCGCTCGACAAAACTAAGTAGCCTCAGAGCCCACTAAAATGAGATAGTAATTCATCAGTTCTTGCAAGGGAAGGTAATAAAGGTTTAAATGAATGTTCAACAGACAATGGTCTGTTCATCAGACGCAATCAGGAAACGTAAACTCCCCAACCTAGAGACCTTGTTATTTGAGGGATTAAAAACCTGGTTGTAATTTACCACCAATATTTTAATTATTGCATGCAGCTCTCTGAGAGCAGTGCTCAAGGTGTGTGCATGGGGACATGGGGACATACCCTCAGAGCTGCTGCTGAAAGAACTGCAGCTCCCTCGGGCCTGTGTCTAAGAGCTACTTCACATCTAATTTTAAAATGAGGCTGTGCAACCTTTTTGACGCTGCTTTGTCTTATTCCCAGCTCTCTTTACAAAGTAGATTCATCCCTTTCTATTAAGCCACTTGTGCTGTAGGGTGAGTCAAAGGGTGCTTCCAAACAGAGGGCCTGAGGCAGTGGTGTAGCATGGGTTGCCAGTGCCCGGGGGGGCAGGAAGGGAATCAGACTGGCTGCCTAACAGCATCTGCTTCAACCAAGAGATTGTAGGCGCAGAGATAATAAGAGTTATTCCATTGCCTGGAGAGATCACTTCCTGGTTTGCATGCCACCATGTTATGGAAGTACACAGCTGTGCTGAGGCAGCACTGGGTGTCAAAATGTTGCACCCTTAACAATTTTGCACCCGGGGCAACCACCCCTGTGCCCCCCACACTACACCACTGGCTTGACTGGAGTATGACAAAGATTCAATGCCACCACACACCCCAAGACTAGATTTCTCTACTAGCCAGCATTTTCCCTCAGATTCTGCCTGGCTCTACATCTCCTCCCCTGCCTGATTATTCTGTTTCTGCCTCAGTCTGCCTAGCTAACAGTCAGAGCTAATTTGTGCAAAATTGTGCAAATTTATGCAATTAAAATTGTGCAAATTTATGCAATTAAAATTGTGCAAATTTATGGAATTAAAATTGTGCAAATTTATGGAATTAAAATTGTGCAAATTTATGCAATTAAAATTGTGCAAATTTAATTGGTTGAGATAAGACTAATCAATGGAGGCTGAAGTCCTGCACACATTTACACGTGTGTAAGTCCAGCTGAACACATACAGAACTGCACTGTAAGCTTTCTTCAGTTGGGTGATATGCCCTAGTTGAAATGAGACTTCTCAGATACATGCAATGAATTCTGATAATTGGGAGATTAATAGTTAAGATCTTAGAAGCTGTGCTGAAAAGAGAAGGAGGCTATAAAACTCTAGCCTCTTTTTCCACTGCACAAGTAATTGAATGAGAAAATGGGGCTGAATTTGTGAGTCATCTTGCATTATCATCAACGGGTCTGGTTGGGAGTTGGCGAAAATTCATTATATATGGCTGCCGCTGCTCGCGGAGTGTTCCGCGCAGCCTGGGCGCGCTGATCTCCGCGCGCGCCGGTTTCGCCATGCCGGCAACTCTCCGCAAGCAGCGGCCGCGCTGCCGCTGCTCTCGGAGAGGTCCGCGAAGCCTGGGCGCGCTGATCTCAGCGCGCGCAGGCTCGGCATGCCGGCAACTCTCCGCAAGCAGCGGCAGCGCTGCCGCTGCTCGCGGAGAGGTCCGCGAAGCCTGGGCGCGCTGATATCAGCGCGCGCCGGCTTCGGCATGCCGGCAACTCTCCGCAAGCAGCCGCAGCGCTGCCGCTGCGCGCGGAGAGGTCCGCGAAGCCGGGGCGCGCGGATCGCAGCGCGCGCAGGCTCGGCATGCCGGCAACTCTCCGCAAGCAGCGGCAGCGCTGCCGCTGCTCGCGGAGAGGTCCGCGAAGCCTGGGCGCGCTGATCTCAGCGCGCGCAGGCTTCGGCATGCCGGCAACTCTCCGCAAGCAGCGGCAGCGCTGCCGCTGCTCGCGGAGAGGTCCGCGAAGCCTGGGCGCGCTGATCTCAGCGCGCGCAGGCTTCGGCATGCCGGCAACTCTCCGCAAGCAGCGGCAGTGCTGCCGCTGCTTGCGGAGAGGTCCGCGAAGCCTTGGCTGGACAGCTTTTGAAGGCAGGTGGGGGGACAAGACTTTCGCCCCCGCCAACCTTCAGAAGAGGTCGGACCTCTTCTGAAGGCTGGCGGGGGCAAAAGTCTTTGTCCCCCTGCCTGCGTTCCCAGGGGCTTTTAATTTGCCGCGGACAGCGGAGAAGTCCGCCGCGGTCCCGGGGCAGTTTTAAAATGCCGCCCGCCAGCATTGTCAGATCGCCCCGGAGAGCGGAGAAGCCCTCCGCTGTCCGGGGGTGTTTTAAAATGCTGGGGTGGGTGGGAAGAAAAGCCCTTGTCCCCCCCCCCCAGCCTTCAGAAGAGGTCGGGGGACAGACTGTCCCCGGACCTGGTCTGAAGTCGGTTTCCCTAGGAACGCATTAATTGATTTTCAATGCATTCCTATGGGAAACCGTGCATTGCAAGACGAAAAACTCGCAAGAAGAAAAAACTTGCGGAACGAATTAATTTCGTCTTGCGAGGCACCACTGTAAGACATATTTGAACATTATTTAAATGGACCTCACATGCAGCCTGCCACATGTCTAAGCACACTTGCTATTTACCTTATTTTTAAAAGTTCATTTCTTGGCTCACCACTGTCTTTTTAAAACTGCCTATGTGCTCTTGAAGACAAAAATGGTGGGAAAGGATGAAGGTACACAAGAACAAATGGATAGTGGGAGAGAGAAAATATTCTGTTTTCCCCAGGAATGAACTGGGAAGGTATCTGCTTCTAATCAAGGACAGGGCTGTACACATATTTTATTTCTTTTGAAGGAATTAAATATGTGTCAGTCAAAGAAGAATCATGAGATTCATATTGATATTTTATAATCTGTATCCCCACAGGTCCCATCAGTTCTCTTACCTATGGATTTCCAATTTCATTCTTAACACAAGCCTGCCACTGTCTGATTACAGTTAACTTCTGATACAATATTTATTTTAAAGTTAAATCCCAAGGTGGCTTCTAAACCCAGACTTTATTCCTGCTAATGCCTTTTCAGCATCTGCTGAATTGTTCCAAACCAACAGAGTTCAAACTTCTCACCCTGAGGGCAACTTTTCGACAACCATCCAAACTGTGGCATAACCCTTATGCACTGCCAGAGATTCTGGGCACATCCTCTGGCATACTTGCCATTTGCTAGAAACTAGACAAAGCCATCCGAACCACATCACACAAGCACACGTCCTCTCCTGACTCACAGACTGCGAGTATTTCTTGGAAGGGATTCGAGAGCACACCCAAACTTTAGGTTTGTACTGTAAAAGTGGATTAAAGAGCTCTGTCGCCCTGCACAACAAATCCGCTTTAAAAAAAAGAATAAGACATTTTGCACCTGTGCAGAAGGTTCCACGTTCAGTCCCTGGCATCTCTGTCATCCATGGAGGAGGACAACTTAAACACGTTGCAGAGTTCCCCAAAAATAGACCAGAGGCAATTGTATTTCATCAGGCAGAGCTTGACTGCTACTGAAGGCAAATGAGCACAATGGTCACAAATCCAATACATTCAGGATTGGCACAGTCCATAGGAAATTCAGTTGCAGCAGACTTAACTTAAATTTGACATAGAACTTATAGATATAGGTAGGTAGCCGTGTTGGTCTGCCGTAGTCGAAACAGAATAAAAAAATTCCTTCCAGTAGCACCTTAGAGACCAACTAAGTTTGTTATTGGTATGAACTTTCATGTGCATGCACACTTCTTCAGATATGTATCTGATAAAGCTCATACCAATAACAAACTTAGTTGGTCTCTAAGGTGCTACTGGAATGATTTTTTTTATTTTGTTAGAACTTATAGTAAGACTAAACCTTAACACTATAGCATACAGAACACCACACCAGAACAAAGAGATAGAAAGAGAAAGTGAGTGAGACCCAGGCTCCTTCAGGCCCTACTATTATAGTCAGCATGACCTTGGCAGAAAGGATAAGAGAATCAGTTTAAACCAGCTGTACTCAGCTTCCCAGAAGGAATAACCCGAACTTCATGAAGTTTATTTCACACAGAGAAGCTTCCTGAACCCTCTTGAATTATGTAGAATAGGAAATATCTCTACACATCAGATCAATACTTTCTGTATTAAGAAATGCAAACTGACCATCTCCAGGAAGGGCTGAGAAAAACCCTCCTTTGAAAACCCTAGAGAGCCACTGACAGTCAGTGTGGACAGTACTGAGTTAGATGGACCAATGGCCTGACTCTGTATAAAGCAGCATCCTATGTTACTAGCTTTCCAGATTCTAATACAGTGATGCCTCGGGTTACAGATGCTTCAGGTTACAGACGCTTCAGGTTACGGACTCCGCTAATCCATAAATAGTACCTCAGGTTAAGAACTTTGCTTCAGGATGAGAACAAAAATTGTGCAGCAGCGGTGTGGTGGCAGCGGGAGACCCCATTAGCTAAAGTGGTGCTTCAGGTTAAGAACAGTTTCAGGTTAAGAACGGACCTCCAGAACGAATTAAGTTCTTAACCTGAGGTACCACTGTACTGGTAATCTGTCATTGAACATAATGGCTTATTGATAACCTTGTGAGTTGGTGGAAGCACTTAAACTTGGCCCTGAAGTTCCCAGACTGCTGCAGTCAGGCCTGGCCCACCCATGAGGCAGGGTGAAGCAGCCACCTCGGGTGGCAGAATTCCCTGAGGCGGCGCTTCCATGGTACCTGGCTGCTTTCGTCACCAGCAGAGAAGCGGCGCTGTTATCAGTGCCAGTTTTTGGCGAGCTCTCACATGAAATCACCAAGATCTCACAAGATCTGGCAGAGCGTGCAAAATCTCGTGATATTACAGTGAGATCTCGCCGGAAATCAGCGCTGCTGCCAGCCCTGGTTGAAGTCTGCCCTTGACCTCAATATGTACTCCAAGAAACAGGAAGAAAACACAAAAATGATTCCTCAAGAAGGAACAGGGAGCTTAGAAACAGAAACAAATGGAAAGGGATATGGTGAGTAATCTGAGAGAAGAGGAGGCAATTTTCAGGTTGGAGATAATGGACGCAGAGAAGCAGTTAGAGATGAAATACCATGCAGATGAGGAGACAGAATGACAACTGTGGATGGATTTTTCCTTTGTGGTGTTCTACCACCTCTTTGACTTTGTTCTCCCTCTGGGAGAAATTACACAGCTGGCAAAAATTGAGTGCAGCTGGCAATTACTGTCACTAACTAGCGAGAATATAATATTGATGTGAAAAGACTCCAAACTTCAGTTGCCCCAAATGATTCTTCCATCAAATGCATTACAGAACAAAAGAAGACTGTAGTAGAAAACTTCCTTCGTAGCGCTGCCTCTTTCATTTAAAATAATCATGGCATACCAATTTGTTATTCTGTGACTGTACAGATTCTGTAGGCAAGGCTCAGGTATATACTACCAGGGACACACATAACCTCCGTTTTACAGCAGCTACACTGAGCTTACATCCACAACATACATTTAAAGCGTACTTATACCACTTTGACAGTCATAGCTTCCCCCAAAGAACCCTGGGAACTGTAGTTCATTATGGGTGCTGACCTCGCAGACTTACAGTTCTCACCACCCTGAACAAACTACAGATGAGATGTTAAAACCTCTTCCTCGATAATATTCAACTAGTTATCAAATTCTTTTTTAAAATGAGCAGGTATGGGGAGAAACCAAGACCACAGATCTTCTCTCTGACATCTAATTTGATGTGTGCAATTCTTCCTTTTCTTTTTCTGTATGCTTGAACCCTCAATCATGTGATTTTCCACCTCCCTCCCCACAAGTTGGACACTCCAGGAACAGATTTAAACCTCACCTGCGGTTTGTGTGAATGGGGTCCATGTGAAACAATTTCCCTTGGTATTGGGAAGATATTCCTATTTGCTTTCCAGTTTGATGCTGGTTCTCCCCAACCCTGAGTGTTTGAGGTTAGAGGCTCAGAATATTCAGCAGGTCACTTGAGTGAGCTTGGTTAGTCACAACATGTTCAGTTTTAATTGGCTAAAAGAACTCATTAGGTTTCAACTCTTAGCTCAATTGACTAACGACACAAGGGCACGAGCCTATTACAGCTAAGCCAGTGGTTGTCCAAATTTCCTACCTGTGGGAGCTGAGCTATCCATGTCACCTTACCTGGAGGAAATCCCCTGAGCAGCACCTGCCTGTGTGTTGTAGAGAACTCTGGGGCATAATCTAAGCCTGACGTGCGGAACTCAAATAACTCTGAAGGCCACTTTTACTTTTTCATTAATTCAAAAGGCTGCATTGCTGAGTTAACACAGAACAGTATTTTTGTTGCAGTTTTGACTCTTGTTTTCTTTTTTAAGACTCCCCTTTTCTCTTCACAACCATCAAAGGTCTCTCTGAGCTCCTCGGCCAAGCTCCCTGGCTTTTCTTTCTGCACACCATTGGGTCTTTCTCTCTCTCTCCCTCTCTCTCTCTTTCTCTCTGCACCTCATAGTATGGTCAATGAACCCAGAGGTGCCATTGTGTCTATGACACCTGCAAATACACATTCAAAAAGCCTCAATACATGAGAAGTTGCTCTTCCTGCTCTGTTCCTGTTTGTATCACCTTCATCTCCCCTGTAATGAAAACACACCCTTACATGTTCCCACATTTCATTGGATGCCATGACTGGATACCCTCCTTGCCTTCTGAACAAAGGAGAAGTGCAAAGAGTTTTTCTCCATGAGCAAGCACAGTGGTGACTGATACGGGTGCCTCTTTTCCACTATTGAGGGTGGGGATAATTCCCGCACCATTCTGCGATCCTTCCTCTTTCTGCTTTTTTAGATGCAGCACCTATTTTGTGTTATGCCACACTCCACGGCAGCCATTTTGTGCCTGGCACCCCTGGTAATTTTTTCTCTCTCTCATTTTTATTAAATTTTCTGTTTTACAATTTAGAATACGCATTTAAACATCCTTAAGATATCCATGACTTCCCTTCTTCTCTTTCCATGGTTCATTTTGCATATCACAAATCCCTGCATATTTTACATAAACCAAACCATTCAGTATTCCATTATTACACCCATCAAAACTTATTTACACAGTTGGATTCATCTTAATGCTGCCAACGTTTTCAGGTGTACACAATTCCCCCCCCCCCCATATATTCAATAAACATGTTCCAATCTTCTTTAAACATATGTTCTTCTTGTTCTCTTGTTATATATGTTAAGTCTGCAAGCTGCGCATATTCGATCAGCTTAAGTTGCCACTCTTCTTTAGTTGGGACCTCGCTAGTTTTCCATTTTTGAGCTAACGAAACACGGGCCACAGTAGTGGCATACATAAATAACCTTTTTTTGACACCGGGGAATTTCCGTTTGGATTATCCCCAACAAAAAAGGACCCCTGGTAATTATTCAGCATTCCAGGTGTACCCACCGGGTCACAAAGGTTTGGGACATTCCAGAATTGCAGAAGCCAATCCTGGCTTCTGTCTGCATCCTGAAATGTACTCGGGGGTTTTTGTCACACCAGAGACCTGGACCAAAAGACACTCACTTTGGCCCTCATCAGGTTTGCTCCAGAGTGCCTTCCAGGCTCTTCCAACACGTCCCAGAGAAGGCACTCTGGCATGGCCCTGTCAACATCCTGATTTGGGGGAGGAAAATGTTGGAGGGTATGAAACACAGACAGAGAAAGGCTTAGGTGGGCTTACAAGTGGCCACAAGGAGATGAGAATGGGTCGCAAACAACTGGATTTTGTGAGTTTCTGCAGGAGCTGAAAATAGGGAAGGAAACACAACTGGTATATGGCCCTAAGGATGTACAGGACTTGTTCTAACATCCAGATTATATGATTCAGTATAAAGCAGTTTCCTTTTTTTTATATATAAGATATTTATTAAAGTTTAAACATTACAAAGAAAAGAAAAGAAAAGAGAAACAAAAGAAAAATACAAGCAATAAACAATTACAAAACCTCAGAAACAAAAATAAATACAGTAATACAAAACATCAACAATACAAAAATGGCAAAAACAAAAACAAAAGCATTTAAAAACCCCAAAAAGAACAAACAAAAATAAATAGGACCCCGTATTTTCGTATCCTTATCTTTCATTTACTTATTTCCTCGACTTCCTCACACCTCCTTTTTGTATTCTAGTTCAATTAATTATTCCAGCAAGTTCTTTCCCTCTTTCTCAAATTTAGTTCCATAATTTATCTTAACGCAATTTAGCCTTAAATTTACACCTTTACCCAATGTCGATCTATTCATACTTAATTCTTTATAGTATTTCTACTAAAGTCATGTAGCTTCTTTCCAGCATCCTTCTAACATTCATTAATTTTAGAATATTTCTGTAAATATACTTTAAATTTTTTCCAATCTTCTTCCACCGACTCTTCTCCCTGGTCTCGGATTCTGCCAGTCATTTCCGCCAATTCCATGTAATCCATCAGCTTCATCTGCCATTCTTCCCTGGTAGGTAGGTCTTGTGTCTTCCAGTGCTTAGCGATAAGTATTCTTGCTGCTGTTGTGGCATACATGAAAAAAACTCTGTCCTTCTTTGGCACCAATTGGCCCACCATGCCCAGGAGAAAGGCCTCTGGTTTCTTTAAAAAGGTATATTTAAATACCTTTTTCATTTCATTATAGATCATCTCCCAGAATGCCTTAATCTTTGGGCATGTCCACCAAAGGTGAAAGAATGTACCTTCAGTTTCATTACATTTCCAACATTTATTATCGGGCAAATGATAAATTTTTGCAAGCTTGACTGGTGTTATGTACCACCTGTAAATCATTTTCATTAAATTCTCTTTTAAGGCATTGCA